TATTGTTGCCTTGCACAAATAACAAGAACAGCTGGCTACTACAATAGCCAAAAACCTCTTCAGTGCACACTAGATAGTGCCACCTAGACAAGAAAAGAGACCAGGTAGAAGTCCTCAATTGAGCTGCAAAATCTCTCCTGGACCTAGCAAGTCCATTAAGCATGCCTAATACCTTCATCTATATTTCTGACTTCATGCTTTGCCAGCAAGAGCTGGGAGTCTGACAGCTGGATCTCACAGCTGACTTCTGCTCTGCTGGCTGGAAATGCCACAGCCAGAAGAATAGAAGAAGAAGAAACTCTTCTTCTGTCAAGGAAGAAGCCTTCAACAAAAGAGAGCAGCTTGGTTTTGCCTACTGCCTTGTTGCCAAGTTAACCTGTCAGTAGCAGTTGAAGCCAAAATGGATCCAGTTATTTTGCTACAATCTTCTCAAAAGTCCTCTTGAAAGCTGAAAATTTCCAAGGTGGCCAGGAAAGGTGGTTGAATGGAAAGGCATCAGCAGCTGCTTCCTTGAAGGAAATCAGTGGCAAGCAGAAGGTCTGCAAGACGCCTGCATGGGGCTCAGGCTGAGGTAGAGTTTTGGTGTCCCAGGTATAGCCTGACCAACAACAGAACATATGGACTGCAGTCATGGTAGGGACAGCATTCAACCCTCAAGAATTTACTCCACCTCCAGAAAGTACAAACCATTGTGGATCTGAATGATCATATCAAGACAGTAATTGGAATAAAAAAAAACTCACAGTGAGAGACACTCAGGTGTCATGGTGTGAGGAGCTGTGATTTGCCAGGTTATTTACAGCGCACAGCACTCAGCTGCACACAGCTCTGCTGACACCATGGTGAAGAGCATGGCAGCCATGCTTGGCCTTGTTCCTAAGGGCTTCACATTGTTCTCAGAGCCCTTTGTGTGGCCATCACTCCAATTTGTGGAGTCAGGGTACCTCCACAAATGCTCTGTTCTCCCACTTTGTCAGGGAGAGATGATTGAATGCCACAGAAACCTCTGAGGAGAAAATCACAGAAGAAGACATTTAGGGATCATAATGGCAGTGAGTGGCAAGAAGAGATGATTACAGAACTTATCAAAATATCAAAAGAGTTCACTGTCAGTGCAAAGATATCCTTCTTCTAATGGGAGGACTAGCTGAAGCAGTAGCTCCATAACATCCTTTGATGCCCTAGGATAGCAGGACCCCCGGAGCTGGCTGTTGCATCCTGCAATAGTTCATTAGTATTGAGATCTTCAATTCCCTTTATTGGATCTGAATTTGGGCTTCTAAGATCTGACCCCTGAAGAACCAGAACTTTCAGAGTGCTTTTTGCTGCACACTTCTTCACTTCAGGCATTTTTCTCCACACATTTACAATCAACACATGGCTTTGCCATGTTACTGGCATCAGTCAGGCGAAGAGCTTTGCTTCTAAATCATCTTTCATGTTGCTTTTCTCTTGAAACTTTGGGGAATGCCTATATTAGGAGTAAAAATTAAAGGCAGGAGGATGGAGGCTAGGACTTTGTTCTGGCCATGTATTTTGTTCAAACAGGAATTCTGACTCATCCTCTTGTAACTGAAACTTGAAGAAATAGGCATTTCCCACAAGTGGATTTGAATGAAAAATCCACTAAGTTAGAAAAGGTGCATAGCTCCATTCCCTTATGTGGTAGATTAAAAATAAAAATAAAAATAAAAAAAATAAAAATAAAAATAAAAAAATAAAAATAAAAATAAAAATAAAATAAAAATAAAAATAAAAATAAAAATAAAAATAAAAATAAAAATAAAAATAAAAATAAAAGGAAAGAGATGAATGTATCATCTATGGAGAGCTGTCGGACCCTATCTAGAAATGAGCATCAGTAAGAGGCCACCAGGCCAACCATGGAGTCCTTGCACACACTTTCAATCTCTCATAGAAACTAAAACAAACGAAGAAACAAAAAAAACCCACTGTTGTCAAAAAAGTCTGAGAATCAATATTCTTTCTTTCTTTTTTTTTTTTTTTTGTTTTGTTTTGTGTTTTTTTTCTGTATAACCTCCAAGATCCATCAGACAGTGAGAGAATGAGGAATCAGCCTCCCATGTCCCTTAAAAACAGTGCATAGCAATGTGATTGGAAGAGAAGATGTGAAAGGAAAGAGTTAACCAGGTTTATAATTGCTTCCAGAGAGCAATTATTCAGTCCCTAAAAATGCTGGTGGAACAAAATGGAAAATGAGCACGGTCCCAGCAGACAAATGATTAATATTTAGGAAAGGACCAGAGCAGGTATGGATCTACAAGGAGAAGGAAATGGCACTTTAACGAGGTTGGAACTCAGGCTGCACAAACTCATTACATTTGAGTTTTCCTCTCTTATAAAGAGTGAAGGACCCATCCCCACTTCTGCCCATCCTCAGCCAGGACAGAGAGCCCCTACGTGCACGGTTTGCATCACATTTAATAAAGTTGTGGCCTCTTGGCTCTCACAACTGCACTCTCCAGTTTTATTTCCCAAGGGGTCCTAGCAACAGCAGCACACAGTGGTTATAATGTGTCATAAAATAAATATTAGCAAAAGCACTCGCGGACCTCCACTGGTTTGGAATTGGCTTGTCATCATGGTTCGTCTGGTGCACACCTCCAAAATCAAAAGTTGTCTGCAGATGGAGAAAGTTTGTTTCTTGGGCTTGGCTTTGTTTTTGCCTCAATGTCACAGCCAGTAAAAGCAAGGGCTGGCATAGCACTGCCATTCCCATTGCCCTAATCACATGCTCCTGAAATTAAGCCTGTCAGCACATCAGTCGTAAGCCCCTACTGCAAGAGCTTAATAACACTATTGCGAACAAAGCAAAATTGCTTCTAGACTTACACCTGGTGTACAAGACTTCTGCTTATAGTCCAAATCCTATGCATTGCAGGGAATATAAAGAACATGTTTCAGACAGCTAAGTATGTGGAATCATAAAATATCCTGAGCTGGAAGAGACCCATAAGGAAGAAGTTCATCAGCAGCCTCCCTCCTCACCAACCAATTTCCCCACTTTTTAGGCTCATCTCGGTCTCTATTTCTTTTATGAGTGTTTTCACATTCAACCAGAGCCTATACTAGTTATTTTGCATATCAAAATGTCCCATCTATGAAACTGAGTCTTCAGCATGTCTTGCAGGAAAGCCCCAGGGGTGACCCTAGCTCTGTAACAGATCCCTTATGCAACTCTATGCAGATCATTTGGCTCTCTTTTCCTCAGCTCTACCACCATAAAGTGGGAACAATCAGGTTGCTCTGATTCTCACAGCCATAAGGATAAATACACTGTTAAATGCTCTGAAATGCCTTTGATGAAGATTATCTGCTGGACAAACGCATAAAGAGCTAAAAGGGAAAGCTTTGTTGCCACTGTAAATTCACTATGATTTCAAGTGCGGAAGTGCTATTTTAATCCAGAATTAAAATTTATTTGCTTTAAAAGGACACCAAGCAATCAATTCCTCTATTAAAACAATATAAATAAGGTTTATTTTCCTATTAAAAAGTAGTGTAGACTGCATGCACAGTTCGTGGCGCAGCATACAGCCTTGCCATGACGGCTTGGGGTGGCCTGGGGCACAGGTTTGGAAATTGCTCCTGTTAGCTGGTGCACAAGTAGAACAGGTTGCCCAGAAAGGTGATGGATGGCATGTCCTTGGAACCTTTCAAGGTTAGGCAGGACCAGGCTCTGAGCACGTAATGGAGCTGTAGGTGTCCCTGTTCACTGCCAGGGAGTTAGACCAGACTGCAGTTAAATATCCCTTCCAACTCAAGCTGTTTTGTGGTTTTATGATTCTAAGATGTCCCTTCCTACAACCATGACTATGGGAGTGAAGCTGCAGACACAGGAGAGCCTGGGAATACATCTTGCAGAAAGGGCAGGTGACGTTGGGTAATGCCACAGCTGATAACATGAACAAGGAGAGGAAAAATAACTAGTGTTGGATTAAAGAGAAATTGCATATACATCAGCACATGGTGTAGGTATGTTGATGGAAGTGACAAGCAGGAAGGGACAGGTTGTCCTTGCTGTAAGCTGAGGAATCAGGTTTTTGCTGACAAAACCTCCATCCTTGCACTTCTCCCTTCTGTTTGCCTCTTTTTTGGTGAGGTCTCTACCCAAGTTATGAACATGGCGAAAACTCACCCGATGTGCCTTTTCCCCTGACCCCACAAGTAACAACAGTGGGATCAGCCAAAGTCAATTCTTGCAAGGCTCTGTTTTGGTCAGAAACAGAAAAAATCAAAAGTAGAGAGCGCAGATGGTGCTCTGGGCATGTATTCACTGTGCAGGGGAAGCTAAGGGTGCTGAGATAGGGTCTCCTACCAGTCCTCCACCATCAATCTTAGAGCAGCATGCCAGCATGGACACGCAGCAGCTGTTGCGGTAAGTTCATCGGATAGCATGCACATTTATTAAAGTACCTTTAGCACACTTACTAAAACATATATTTAGCTAGGGAAAATAATCTTGCCCTGCCTATAAAAGTCAAAGTTTGCCTTTATAAATAACTCCAGGAGCCCTGCACGCATCGGAGGAAATGGTGACAGCGTGTGTGCTCAGTCTCCTTCTCAGAAAAACTCTCTGAATAAAATATAAACATGGTGAAATATAAAGAACAGTTTGGTGAAGATAATGAAATCTAGTGAAGCCAATAATTTACCCTGTAAATCAGACAGTCACTTCTCCCTTACAAGTTGCCTGCCCTGATTTACACCTTACACCTTATTTCCAAGCTTCTCCCCGCTTTATTGCAAGCACTCAGGGCAGGCTGTGTGTGTCTTGGTTGCTGGCATACCCGTTCATTCCTACCTTGAAATGTCCCACTCTACCATAACCCATCGGCTTGATTCACTTGTTCTTTTTTCCAGTGTCTTCTCACAAGTTCCCAAAGAAGAAAAAGGATGGACAAGGCTCTGCAGCCAGCTGACAGCAAGCCCCTGCTTGGCTCAGTCCCATCTTCATTGCTTGTTCCTTCCTCTTTTAGGTCTGAGCAAGCAGAGCTGACAGAGTATCTCTCTGAACTGGAGAGGATGTGCCTGGTACGGTCTGCACGTACATGAGGTATGGTGTGCAGGGGGTGCTCTGCCCATGTGGGCACATGGGAAAGTAGGGAAAGCAGTAGGGAAAGCACTGCATCTCGAGGAGCCATTCTGATGTGTGCTCCCTCAGTATTAAGATCTCTCCAGGCTTTCTGTATCTGGTAATATTGCTCTTGTTTTAAATTCTTCTCATAATTTCAAGAGAAAATTCTTTGTGACAAACGCTGTTGATTTAAAACTAATGTTTAGCCAGAAATGGGTAATTGTATTAGACCAAAAAAAAGCTGCTGTAAAATCGGCCCCAGTCTGATTTTTAATTTACTGCATCATCAGCTACTTTTATGATACTATTTAATCTGCTGAAATAAAACTATTGCTCTATGAATGTCTCTGATGCTCAAGGAAGATTGTTTTTAGCCATTCTGCTCTTGGGGCCCAGGAGCTGTTAATTATTCTATGAATTATTCCTGCAAATGCATTTATTTACATTTGTTTTAATTGTCACAGTGCTCAGAGAAGTTATGTTTTCTGTGAAGTCGTTTTTAACCCTTGGAGAGGGAAAAGGGACAGTGCCCATCACTGCTTCACACTGGTCCTCCTAACTCCTTTTGCCTTTCCATGGAAAACAACTCCCAGCAATGCCAAAACAATGCCCAGCAATGCCAAAACACTGCCTTGTGCCTTTCTCATGAATACAGTTGGGTGCAGCATTGGGTTTTGCCTTCTCTGGGGTGAAAAAATCAGCCGCAAGGGCCTGTTCCAAACCCATCATTACCTACAGCACATCCCCACTGTGCACAGCTGATCTGGGGCTGTGTTCCCGCACAGACTGCAGGCTATTTTCAGGCAAATCGTAAAAAAATAATTCTGCTTTTTCTTGACTATTAACTTCCTCCAGAAATAGTGAGAATGGAGGTGATGCTATGGAACTCCCCGGAACAACACACCACCAAGTGAGAAAATTGTGAAAAAGAGAATTTCCTTTGTAAAATATCTATGGCAACATGTAATCCACCCAAAAACACACCTAGTTTAAGATAAGAATGAAGCCAGTTGACTGTTTTCTGTTCTTTTCAATGAACAGCAGCAGCTCTCATAAATATTACCTGTGGGATAAATGAATGCAGTGGGAGGAAAAAGGCTGCAGGTGTGACCAACAATGTACATGTGTGGCACGAGCTGCTGGGTTTCGATATTCCTCATCCATTACTATTGCAGTGTTAGGTTTACTGGCCCTGCTAAGCAGCTGAGCACCTGCCTGCGCCGAGAGTGGGAGCAGGCTGTTGTCAGATCTGTTGCAGACAATCAAGTGATGGTTACAAGGCAAAGTACAGTAAAACAAATAGTTCTGAATGCTGCGCAACCACCTCTTGTTTCATCCAAACGACGTCTGTTTGGTTATTTCCTTACGGTCGAACGGCTGCTCCCTGGGCAGACAGCAGAAGTCTCCTTTTACCTCGGTAATTAGCTTGTTTTGAAAGCTCCCACAAATTCTCCCTATCATAAATTTTGCATTGCTCCGCGCACAATAATGCACATAAAATTAAATAAACAATTTAATTAATTTAATTAAAATTAAATATTAAACATATTGTGTATAAGAAGCCCGTGTCTTTGATTTAATTGGGCAGGAGTACCCAAAGCAGTTTGGGTAACAGTGAAAAATAATTAAAAACAACAAGTACGGTCGCCTCTGGGTACGAAGAGTAGTTGGGAGCTTTCTCCTGAGAAAGGTTTATTTAATTAAAACTAAACTAATCTTTGGAAAACACTTGATAAGCATTTCATAATACAAATCATAATCCAAAAATGAAGCTTATACTTCGCTTACATGATACAGGAAAATAACATTAAATAATTCAACTCTGCCACCAGCCACTTGCCTATCACGGAATAATTCAGCAGAGAGCATGTTTACCATCTTTACATTTTCTGTACTGCTCAGTTCATCTGGATATTTATTGGTAAATTATTGCAAGGCATGATGGATCCGCGAGTGATAAGGCTGAGGGTTAATGCTGTATTTGGACTGGTTATTTCCTCTCATAGTTGTGACACCAGGCTAGCATCGAATCCCCAACCAATTCTTGGATGACACCTTTCCAAGGTAGAGAATATTATTTCCAGCATCTCCCACCACCAGAGGAGAAATGGATTATTTATAAGGTGGTGTCTATATCAATACATCCTGCTGGCGAATGTTTGCATTTCTGATACCATGCAGTGAGCACTGCAGCTCTCTGCAATACTTGGACCCTTCCCAAGGTGGCCAACCAAGACCCGGCACCCAGCTGGCTGCCCTGCACTGACGGGTTTACAGGGCATCTCAAAAACAAATGTTTCATTCTGACACCTGGACAGCAGCAGCCTCTCCAGCTATCTCCTACAGGGCACTGATGCCAAACAGATCTCTAAAAAATGATTGTGCCCAAATAGATCCTAATTGACACTCTCAAGCAAGTGCCCAGCGTAACTGAGTGTCCCTCATGTTGCACAGAGCAGCTTTAAAGGGATCATATAATTTCAGTGACCTCGGAGTATGATGCCAATGGGCTCGAGCACATGGATGGGCAGGGGCCCTTACGTTGCCTGGATCTGCTGGGCGACCCAGGTTGTGCTTTGTGTGAGCTTTTCCTGGGAAGAGGCCATTAGCTGATGCAGAGTTTGTTCAGTTCCTCTCCCGCCCACAGCTTTGAGCAGAGGACGCAGCAATTTATCAGGAGTTTCTGCCTAACAGAGGTACAAAGGGGCCCTGCACAGGGTGTGGGAATTTCCCGCATGTTAATGAACCTCATACTGTAAAAGACTGTAGACCAAATCCTTCAGTCCTCACACAGACAAAAGTCCACACCGACTTACCCAAAATCTCCCTGCAAACGCCCATTCAAGTCAACAGCATTTTGCCTGGGCGAGTGCTGAGGATTTGGCCCAGCGGTTGCCGCTGCAATTGCGCACTGGCAAGAGAAGAAGATTTACCACAGCCCCAGCCACCAACCCTTGTCCCTGCGGTGTCACCCAACAAGACAGCCACAATGTCCCCATCCTACCTATGGAAGGACATAGCACAAAAGGAAGGAACATCCAGAAAATAATAGAAATGTAACAACAAAAAAGGAAAGTGAGCCCGATTTTATTTGCTTGTTTTGGCCGTATCATAGCTCAGCCCTTCCTCACCATCGTGGTTCAATATTTGCTGATCGAAAATATAGACTGGCTGCGAGGCACAGAGATAGCGATTATCATCAGAAAGCAATGGGCACTAAAAGAATGGCATTTCCAGAATGTAAAACAGACATTCAGAAGAACAAACAGAGCAGGGAAGAAACGACAGTCATTTGCAAGTAAAATATTACCAAACAATATAACATTGGATTAACTGTTTCATGTATTTATTGTGGAGGAATATATAGAACTTTACATGAGAAACTCACGGTACAAGCAAGAAACAAAGCAGCCTTTTGAACAGCCGCCTTTTAACTTCAGAGCTCCTGCACATGCAGCACAAGGGCTGCTCCCACTGAAGCAACAGCTCTGAGTGAGTTCAGGATTGAGCCCTATGGTTTTAAACTTTCCTCCTGCAACGTCCCTTTTGGAAATATTGCAAACCCCCCAGTCTAGGCACATCGATGTGCTTTGGACAGGAACTGTGACATGGCAAAAAGGAAGCAAAGATGCACTGTGGGGCTGATGCTGAAAACTGCAAGAAAAGGAGAAAAGAAAGAAAAGGAGGGAAAAGGGAAAGCAGCATGCAGGGAGTCTGATCCTGCACCAGTGTGGAGCAAAGCACTGAGCCTGCAGTATGGCTGTGCACAGGACGTGGCCTGCCCCCATTTCTGCCCTTTGTTATGGTTTGCTGGAAATGCTGGAGTGCAGGATGTGCTGCTCAGGGCCACGCTGTGCTTCATGGAGCTGTGGGGTTCCAGATATTGGGGCAGCTCTACGCTCTGCCTTTATAGGTTTTCTCCCTTCTGATGTTGTCTGAAATGCACACATAATTCCTGTGAATCACTATGTGAATCTGTGACTAGTTCACGACTTTTTCATAAGCTCAGCAACACGCCAAACTGTGCCTGGGCCCCATTCTAAAGGGCAGAACCTGTGCAGAAACAGCAACACAAAAAGAGCTGCGGTACTCGGGCTGATCGCTGCTCCCTGCAAGCACCACAGCCACCCGTTGGGATAATGAAAGCACAGCATCAGAGATGCACCAGATCAGGGCAAGAGGTTGGGCTGGGTTAGCACCACCTTTGCTCTGCTTGATGCCAGGAGCTGCGCTGGGTGACTCAAGGAGTTATCTGCAAGTCCATCTGCGTTCTGTGCATAGGGAGCAGCCGTATTTATTTGAGGTGCTCAATTTCTCAGTGTAAGCGCACTCTGTCCTAATTAAGTGAGTGTCCAAGCCTCTTTTGAGCTGCTCGGAAGCAGATTCTGAAGTCCTGCCTTACTGTCAGCTTCATTTGTATAGAATTCCTATGGAACACAAGGGCACATCTGTGGGTAACTTTGATCCTCAGAATCCTTACTGCTAGAGCAGGAAAAAGCTGAAAGAAAGGAGTTCTTAAACAAGAAAACCACCAGCAGGACTGAGCACCTAATATGTGGTAATAACACTAATGACGTCATTCGTGTTCAGCCATGTACATGTGGGGTTTTGCTCCTGGATGTGAATGCAGTCATATGGAGCTGTGTTTTCACAGTACAGCCTCCTGAGCCCCATCCTGCTGCCACTGAAAGCCGTGGCAGAGCTCCCAGCTTCTCCACTGCTATCAGATTAGCTTTGTTCCATGGGCTGAAGCAATCTAATAGATACCAGGTGGCCCTGGTAGTGCCTGTGTGGTCTACAAGTAAGTGAAACATATTTTAAGGAGTCAAATATGAAACAGCTACATCACAGAACCTGCAATAACCCCAGCTGGTATTATTATCTATGGAGGACACGATCAGTATCTAAAATGTGACTCCATATATATTTATTTGATACATCCTATAACAGATGTGTTCTGAGGTAAACTCAGCTGCATGCTAAACCACTGCAGAAACAGATTAATATTTACACTCATTTCTACAAGAACACACAGCTCTCTTGTGTTTTCACTTAAGAGAAAGAACCCCAAACAACCTTAAATTAATCCAGAAATCCACTTTAAGTATGTGAGTCAGTTTGTAAAAGGACCTGCAGAAGTAAAAACTGTGTGTGAACTGTCCTGGCTGCTGCTGTGATGTTTAGCTCACTCATTGCTCCATGCACCCCGTGCTGTGAAATCCATACCTGCTCCAGAAGTACAAACTGGAGGAAGATGGGACACTACCTGAGCAGCACCATGATATATATATATATATGCACACATCCTGTGCAATGGATGCTGCTGGAAATGGATGAGGACTTCCTTGGTGCTCTCTGCTGGTGTGAAAGTGGGGTTCAGCCTGGCTCAGGTGAAGCCCTCTGTGCTCTGCTCTGCAGCAATGGTTGGGGACTGCCCTGCCCACCCCATAGCCTGACCTTAATTCACAGCACGTGTGGAGAGTGACCTGAGTTCTGCTTGGTTTGCCCATCTGAGCTCCCACCACAGCTCAGTGACATAGAAACGTGCATATGGGGAGATTCCAAGCAAAGCTCAGCCCACTCCATGGAACCACCCCCAAAAAAATCAAAGTTACTGATCATTTTCCCAATCCAATTAAAGATTCTCAAGCGTGATGAGGTCTACCATGGTTCCAACACAGAGGGGATGTCTCCTGTGCTATCTGCGTGCTGAGGATTGGTTCTTCTGGTGTGCTCTTCCCTTGCAGTTTCCCATCTATAAGAGATGGATGCTCTATCCTTGGAGACATCCAAGGTCAGGCTGGATGGGGCTCTGAGCAACCTGATCTACCTGCAGAGGAGTAATTGGTGTTTCATTTGGTACCCAAAAATGCAGTACTACCTCTGCTCTTATCTGCCAGCAGCCGTCCTCTTTCATCATGGATTCATCTCCTTAAGAAGCTCAAATACTTGCACTTTGCCAATGAAGATCTTGGAAAGTACGTTCAGGAGTAGCTTATTTTAACATTAATCACTTTTAACAAGACTTTTACCAGAGCGGGGAGAACGCGGAACTAATCGTTGGAAGAGCTGGTCAAGTTTATTGCAATGGGGAACTGTCGGGCAATTATGATTTATTTATTTGGGGGGAGATAAGGCGAGCATTGTTCTCTGGTGAGAGGAGGAGGAAAGGAAAAAAAAAAAAAAAAAGAAGCAAAAAAAAAAAAGACTATGGCTGGTCTTAAAGTTAATGTTAGTTCCTTCTCATGCTCTTTTCACAACGGAGGGGAAACGTGAGGGTCTGGTAAAAAGGGGGGAAAATAAGGAAAAAGGAGAGGGGAAAAAAGGAACAAGGGATCTGCCCCGTCACTGCCGCAGCTCCCCGCGTCCCTGCGGTGCTCTCCTGGGGAGAAGACCCGCATTGCCCGATGCGGTCTCGTCCCGCACATCGGGAAAGTGCTCCGAGGGGCACCGGGATATTGCCACCCCCCGCCCCTGGGCTGTTCTGCTGCTGCTCACTGCTCGCTGCGCTCCGAACAGCCCGAGCGCGGATGAGAAAAAAAATAAACAAATAAACAAATAAAAGTTAAACCAAAACAAAACAAAGCCGAAATGTGCCTGTGGCCCTGCTTGCCCCTGCAGCCCCGTCCCTCCATTCCCCCTCCGCCGCAGCCCCGACGGCCCGGCGGTGACGCAGGGAAAAAAGCTTTCTGCGGATCTCCTTTCCCTCCGAGTGGACGGTGACCATACACAAACCGACCGGAGCTCTGCTTTGTGCAGGGGTTGCTCACCTGGTGCACGTACAGATCAGACCTCGGAGCAAAGGACTTCAATGCACAGCACAGCCCGATTCCCGAATCCCCACTACTACCACTACCCCCCATAGTGCACAGCAGCGTTGCACAGTCCACATACACCTTAAATCGCCCTAAGGCATTGGATGCGGCGCGCAGAGGTGAACCCAACGCGCCGCCCGAGGCCGCTCCATGCTCCGCACCCGGCAGACGGTGAAAAGTTACGGATTTGTTTTTCTCGACTCACAACTCTCCTCTGTTAGCTCCGAATTTCACCCCTTTGCCGCCCGGCAAAGCTTTTCCCAAACAGTTTGAGATCAAATCGGGAGCTCTGGAGCAGCGTTTCTGTCCGCCCACAGTTTAGTTGTTGTAAGACGGAATGAAACGGGATCGAACCGCTCTCACCCCCGAGACGCCGCAGCCCCGGCGGGAGCCGCCTCTGCCCCCCACCGCCCAATTCGAGACCTCACGGCCCCGGGGAGTCCCTGCAGCCCCACCACCCCCACCTTATAGCTGCTCCGGACAACCAAACGTGAGCGCCGGCTCGGCGAGCAGAGCTCCTACCTCCGCTCGGGCACGGTTAGCGCCGCTTCGGACCTGACTCGACGGGGAGGGAGAGGTGCAGCGCGTGTTAACGTTCACTGTACAACACCGGGAGCTCCGCTCTCATCGTCCCGGGACGCGCGGGGGAACCCTTCCGAGCCGCCCCGCAGCCGCTGCGCCCTTCGACGGGGGGAACGCGGAGCCGGGCAGCGCAGCTCCCACAGCCCTGAGAGCAGCGGGGAGGGGAAAGGAGCCCTCTTGTAAAGCTCGCGGCCGTCGGAGCCCTCAAGATAAACATCATTAGAAATCATTGTAATTGGGATTGTGAAAGCTGACCTCTGACCCGCCGGGCTACGTGTCACAACCGTGTCTGCTTTGATTCCTCGAAAGGCGGCACAAAGGAACAAGCTCCGTGACAGGAGGCAGAGGGATCTGCGATCCGGCCCGAGGGGACCGACGGGGGGAACCGCACGTGGCCTCCCTCCCCCGTGCCTCATTTGCATATGCAAATCAGCCGGGCGCGGGGCCGCCCCGACGGCGGGACGGGGGCAGGCGGGAGGCCCTGGAAGCGGAGAGAAACGGGGCTGCTGTGGGGCCTGACGCGGGCAGGGAGTGGCGGAGGGAGGGGGACGACTCCTACTGCTACCTCCGGGGAGCGGGTGGTGGAGGGGAGCTGACCATCATTTCCGATGTGTTTTCCTCCGGGGCTTTTCTGCTCGCACGTTGCTCTGTCCGCCCCGTCCAGCCCCTATGCGGGCGGTGCTCTCTGACCGCAGCTCCGTGCCACAGCCGGACTCATCCGACGCTGAGGACGGGGCGGCCTCGCTCACCACTCCGCTGCCTTTCATGGGGCTGGGGATGGCGCATGTGGCTCTGCCTCACCCGGGGTACATCAGTCCCCAACGAGGCCAGACCTGATTCCCTTGTCTGCTTTTGCTCTGCTAACGCTCGCAGAGAAATCCTAAATGCATAATTACCCTAGCAAGCCTGATTTGCTTAAATAATCCTCTTTAGGCTCCCCTTAATCTGCTCTATATTCCTCCCACCGTCCTTCTCCTTGCCTGGTCCGGCTCTGCCGAGCTTGGTCAAACGCCGATCCCGTGCCCAGGAGGCAGCAGGTAGGCGGGGTGGGGAGCAGGGGGATGCTGGGAACCCCTAGCCTTAATGTCACCTTAGTGTCACCTTAATGTCACCTAAATGTCATTCTCTTTCTGGGCGGGGAAATCACGCTGTGCGGGTTCCCCGTCTGCTCTGCGACCGCACAGAAATATCCGACGGCCGCAGCTGGTAGAGATCCATTGGGAGGGCCGGCGCCCTGTTTTTAAGGAGAAGCTGACGTTTTGGTCTCTGCAGCTCCAGGGAAGTGCGGGAAGGAGGACGAAGGCAAAGATCTGAATTTAAATCGGGGCTGGGATGGGGGAAGGCGATTTCTCTGCATCCCCTCTGTCTCTGATGGCAGCGAGTGGGGAGCAGGATCACCCGGTTCTGGAAGTGCCCCCAACCCGGTCCCTCTGGGGAGGGCTCTTCCCTTTGCTCTGTGCAGAAAAATTAAGTTTATGCTTCAGTTTCATCGAGAAAATGGAAAGGGAGAAAAGAGTGAAGAACTTTAGATGGCGCTGTGCAACATTTCTACAAACCCTCCAAACCTTCCCCTGGGCCTGCGGAGAGGAGCGGGGACCTCGGCGGGGTGGGATATTACGGGGTGGGATCCAGGAGGTGGGGTGCAATGGGGTAGGGTGGAGGGAGGTCTGTCCAGGCAGTGCAGCCTCCAGCCGAGCTCGGTGACAGCACGCTGTGGGACGGCGGCGCTGAGTAGAGATAGTTTTGAAAGAAAATAATAATAATAATAACAACTTTTTTTTTTTTTTTTAAATAGCTAAAAAAAAAAAAAAAAAAAAAAATCAAACAAAAATCCCAGAGGCCGTTTCTCTCTGTCCCTTCCCCTCGACTTGTGGGAAAACCCCTAAAACCTCCGACGGGGTGAGGCCGAGGGGGCCGCACGCTCGCCTGTAGGTGCTGGGCGCCTACAGCTCGCCCACCCTTAAGCTCACCCCGAGCCCACACCCGGCCCACTGTAAGCCCGTTCTGAGCTCACCCCACAGCCCCACTCGGCCCAGGCACGGCCTCGGCGGGGCCGCGGGGAGCCGTGCACACGGGAGAAGGGCTCCGCTCTCGGCTCTCCCCGTTTCTCTCTTCCTGTCCGTCGGTTGAGGGCCTCGAGAAGGGGGTTTAAGAGAAGCTGCAAGCAGCAGCAGCCCCGTCTCGTGTCCCGTCAGATCGGCACAGCCCGGCCCTCGGAAGCCCTCAAAAGCGGTGAGAAGCCGAAGCGAGGCGTGATGGGCTCCGCGCATCCCCAGCGGCTGAGCAAAGGCAGCGGGCCGCGGCACGGATCCTCCCGCAGCCGCCATGTGTGGAGCAGGGCAGCTGCGGGGCAACGCCGCGTTGGCTCCGAGCGTCCGACTGAGAGAGTGCCGCTCTGCGTACAGAGCTTCGTTCCTCGTTAAAAAAAGGAAAAAGGGAGGATAATGCCCGAACAGAATAAAAAAATAAAATGATAGGAAAATAAATTTAAAAGAAAGAAAGAAAAAAGAAAGAAAAATATTAAAGGTCGGAGTGCTTTAAAACAGAAGAGAATCGCTTTAAAAATTCACTGCACTGATCCACCAAAAACCAAAACTCAGCAGCGCTGTGCGTGCACAGATGTGTTTGTGCCACACACACACGCACTGAAAGAAGGAGCCGCGGCAGCCGCGTGCTGAGCACAGCCTACACTTTATTTCAGACTACAGATTTCTGAACATAATAAAATCTTTGGCTTGGAGCGGCCGTTCAGCCTCGCAGTCTGTGGATCAGATTTATTTTTTTTTTTTTCCTCGGGAAAAAAAAAATAAAAATAAGAGAGGGAGAGAGAGAGACAGAAATTCACACACACACACAAATATGGATCGAACGGAAGAGCGGAGGCGGACACCAAAAACGAAGAGCGACGGACGTGGGGAGGAAAGGAAAGCAACAAACGAACAAAAGAGAGAGGGAGAGAGAAGGGGAGAGAGAAACCGTCCAGCAAATAGAGATCGCTACACATATTTCTTACCTGAAATTAAATATATACAAGGTCATATGTTTGGCTATATAGAGATTTTTTTTTTTTTTTTTTTTTTGTAAGCGTTCATATTTCTTTTTTTCTCGTTCGCAGTCCTTATACTATGGATAGACAATAGCTCTGTGTTCCTGGCACCTGTCGGCGCGGGGCCGTCACTCGCTCTCCTCTTTGTCCTGCACCGTGGTGGTGGAATGGTTGTACAGTCCCTGGGCCATGAGGTGCAGCGCCAGCCCGTTTTTGATGCCCGTCGCTTTCTTGATCTTGGCCCGCTTGTTCTGGAACCAGATCTTGATCTGGGACTCGTTGAGGCTCAGCTCCTGGGCCAGGCTCTGCCGCCGCTGCTCCGTGATGTAGCGGTTCGCCTGGAACTCCGCCTTCAGCCGCTGCAGCTGCTCGGCCGTGAAGGCGGTGCGCGGCCGTTTGTCCTCCTTCTCCGTCTTCTTCTTCTTCAGCTTCCTGGTGCGGGGTCCTGCGGGCAGGGCAACACACACCGCTGCGCTGGGCCCCGCCGCCGCCCGCCCCGACGGAACGTGGCCCGACGGGGGCGACCCAACCCGGGGAGAGCGGGCCCCGGAGGACCGAGGCCGCGGAACTCCCTCGCCCACTGCCGCCGAGGCCTCGATGTAGGCCGGAGCTGCGCTCCCGGCGCGGCCGTTCCCTTCCCCGCAGCGGGAGCGGTCTGAGCCCAGCACCGCGCAGCGCTCGGAGCGCCCGGGCCGGGCGCTGGGAGAGGCCCCGCGGACGGCTGCGGGTTACACAAAGAGCGCGGCCGCGCCGAGCCGAGCGGCGGGGATCGGGGCACGGCGTGCGGATACCTCCCCGGGCCCGGAGGAAAGGGAAGGAAGGAAGGAAGGAAGGAAGAAAAGAAGGGAAGGAAAGCTCGAGTGCACGGTCCCTAAGAGCCGGGAGCCGCGGGCCCTGACAGCTCGATCGCTCAATCCATCACCGCAGTCAATCAAAGCGGCTTTTCCCGAGTTTGAAGGCGATGGAAGTGTCAATAACGGCGGCGGAGCGGCCCCGGCCCTACTGCACCGCGCTGGGGATTGGGAAGGGGGGGGTGGAGGGAGGAGAAACCGGGGTGTTACTGGGGGTCATCTCCTAGCCCTCATCTTAAAAATAAAAAATAAAAATTAAAAAAATACTGCAATTAATTTGCCACTGACGGTGGCAAAACGAAGTGCTGCGGGCCCGGCTCCAGGGGGACCCTCCTGGCTCGGCCCCTCCAGCAGCCGTTTGCAGCCCTTCTTCCTTCTCCTCCCCATAAAACAGCCCTCAGCGGCCCAACTACACGGGGCTGGAGCGATCCCCACGAAAAACGGCTCTTTGCCTGGGGAAAAGGAACGGACTCCCGGGGCACCCGGCTCTCCGCACGGCCCCGGCGCCGAGCAGATCCGAACGGGGCTCTCGGAGGAGGATGGGGACCGGGACCCTCCCCGCGCCGGGCTGAGAGCCACAGGAGGGAGGCAGAGGGAAGAGGGGCACGGAGAGAGCTGGGGGGATCCGCGCTATCCTTACCCGAGGAAGGCCGGTCGGAGTATCGCGTACAGTACACCCAGGCGGGCCATACCAGCGGCTGCTGCGAGTCGGGCTTGAGCACGGCTCCTCCATTATTAGAGCCCATGAGGAGGATGGCGGGGCTGCCGTGCTCCCCGTACTTGGCTGCCGGAGTCTCGCCGCCGTCTCCCTGTGCCTTGGCCGCCCCCGCAGACCCCGCAGCTCCCGCGGCCGTTCCGGGATTCGCTTTGGCGGCGGTGCCGGCGGGCGCGGAGCCGTCGGGAGCGCAGTTCGAGTCCGGGCAGAGGAGCGCGGAGGAGGGCGCGTGGGGCGGCCGGGCCAGCAGCGGGTTGACGTTCTCTCTACCTGCGCTCTGCGCTCCGTCCCGCTGTTCCCGGCCGCCTCCTCCTCCTCCTCCTCCTCCCGTCGCAGCACCGGTGGCGGCGGGCAGCTCCTTCTTGCAGCCGAAGTCCGGCCGGAGGATGTTGTCGATGAAGAAGTTAGTGGTGCGGGGCGGCGGCGGCGGCGGGGGGCGGCGGCGGGGCAGGGGCAGGGGGCAGGGCGCGGCGGGGGAGGCGGGCGCGGGGCTGGGGGACACCGGAGCGCTGTCGCCGTCGCTGCCGCCTCCACCGCCGCCTCCGCCGTTCGCCGGCCCCGGCGGCGCCGCGTCCCGGTGGTGGCCGTGCCCCTCCGGCGGCTCTTCCATGCTCAGCCCCCGCCACGGAGAGAGACGGAGAGGAGATCGCCGCTTCGCCGTTCGCTGCTCGCTGTTCGCTTGCTGCTTTTTTTTTTTTTTTCCTCTTTTTTCTCCTTTTGCCCCCCCCCCAGCCCCCACACACAGCCACTTTACGCCCACTCCGCTTTGGCGGTGGGTGGCGGGTTAAAAATTTTCAAAAAAAAAAAAAAAAAAAAAAAGAAAGAAAGAAAAAAAAAGGAAAAAAAAAAGAAAAAACGAGTCCAAAAAAAAAAAAAAAAAAAAAAAAAAAAAAAAAAAAAAAAGCACCAAATCCACTTGTTGGGCCGGAGCGGAGCTGAGCTTTTTTTTTTTTTCTCTCTCTCCCCCTCGCACGGATGGATCCAAAACCGGGAGACACTCGAGGGCTTCTCTCCCCTTATATATTTCCAACAGCAAAAAAAAAAAAAAAAAAGGGGAAAAAAAAAGGGAAAAAAAAAAACCCAAACCCGCGTGCAGCCGCACCGCGGCCCCCCCCGCGCCCGCCCCCCGCGGAACCCCTTAGCAGCCGCGCATGGCCCCGCGCTGCCGCCACGCTCTGCCCACGGCCCCGCAGCCCTTCCCCGGCGGCGTGCGCGGCTCTGCTTTCCCTTCACCTTTTCTCTTGTTTTCCTTTTCTTATTCTTTTTTTAATAATTCCTTCCCACCCACCCCCCCTCCCTTATTATTATTATTTGGTTTTGTATTTTTTTTTTTTTTTTGGTCCCCCGCAAAAAAAAATTTGGGGGGGAGGAAAAAAAAAAAAAAAAAAGCCAATCTCTGACAGCTCCGATCTTTGCAACAAACTCTCCCTAAAAAAATCCCTCGGCCACACTTTTTTTTCGCTCGCACCGGAAGCACGTGAGGCGGCCCCGCACGTGGGGGCGGCCAATGGTTCGCCGCCGCCGCCGCTGACACCCCGCTCTTCGCCCAATGGCCAAACCCGACGGGGCGCCGCGATAAATACCGCGTGGGGCCGGGCCGGGGCGGTGGTGGCGGCTCGACGGGGTGGGGGCACGCCCGTGGGAGCCCCCCATCCATTATAGAGCTGCCTTAGAATGCCCGCGCTATAAAGCGCCACTGTAGAGCCCCTAGTATAGAACCTCCTTCGAGCATCTTCTTTACAGCACCCCTATTATAGAGCCCCCTCAGAGTGCACCCATTATAGAGCCCCTTTACAGTGCCCTCATTATAGAACTCCATTATAGTACCTCGATTATAGAGCCCCTTCAGGGTGCTTCCATTATAGAGACACATTATAGAGCCCCCTTAGAGTGCCCCCATTATAGCGCCCCTTATAGAGGCCCATTATAGCGCCCCCTTAGTCCGCCTCTATTGGAGCGCCCCCCTCGCGTCTCCACCCTCATAGCATCCCATTATAGCGCCCCCCGTTTTAGCGCCCCCACCGCCTGCAGCGCCCTCCCCGCTCCCCGGCCCTGGGAGCCCATGATCTGGGGCGCCCCCAAATCGTAAACCTTTCCCCAAATAGTAAAGCCTGCAACTTTCCCAAATACATGTAAACCCCGCAGGCTCTCAACTCACCCTCTTTCAATTTTGATTTTGTGTTTCCATGTCGGGGGAAGGAGAGACGGAGAGGGCCTCTAGTTGAAACTTTTCGTTTTTCATTCCTTTAGAAAACAATAGTAATCATGTTTTTAAAAATATATAGGGCTAAATAATGGGAAATGAAAGGGCGAACCTGCAGCTGCCGCGCTGCCTCGCTCCACACTGAGCGGCATCGGTACTATTTTGGGGGATGAAAAGCCGCCTGCCTGAGGTTGGTCTGTGGGTTCGGGCTCCGAGAGCGGCCCTCCACCCCGCGGTGCTCTGCTCTCAGCTCAGAGCGAACACCTCGGGGCTGCGGGAGAGAAATTAGGGATTTGGAAGGATGGAGAGACCGGTGCATGGTTTATCAGTGTTTTGTGTTCCTAAACATTAACGTGTATGGAAAAGAATAAGAATAATGCATAACCCTAAGGCCGGATTTGGTGTCTCTCGGCCTCCCGGGGCCGCAGCTGCTGCCCTCTCTCCGCTGGCACCCGACGACCCCGAGGGGGCTCCGAGCGGCTTCAAGCGCCCCGCGGCCACAACTCCGTGCGGGGCTCCTGCGGGCACCTGCGGGAAGGGGCGGCCCCGAAAAGAGCCCATTTTCCCCCAAAAGAAAACAATGACGAGAGGAGGGGAGGCCGCATCACGTGCCATCTCCCGTACGTCCTATGTGTGGGATGCGGATGTGCCATAGGTATGTATGGACGTGGGGACGAACACCGGGGGGTGGCACACGGGACCGAAGGCCCCCCCCCCCCGCGCTCCGCTCCCCCCGAGGCGCGTTCGGCTCTTTCCGTACCGCGGAACCTCCCGACTCGTCCCCCCCCAACACCACCTCCCCAAAACGCCGCAGCGCTCAACGTCCGCACTGCAATGAACGCGACCCCCGCTCCCCCTCCCCCCCCCCCTCCCGCTCGCATCCACAACATTGTATCATTTACTCGCCCGAAATTGGGTTTATTTATATTTAAGTTAGCAAAATTGAAATCTTTATCCCAAAAGCGAGCGTGGGTACTTAATTAAATTCTAATTAGGACACTATCAATATCCCATTTAGCCACGTAGCCTTTGTGAGCCGCGGTCCCTTTCAGAGCCGTAAATGGGGGCTCGCCGCCTTATCTCTCCTGCAAGAGACGCCTTGAGAAGGGCTGCAAAAGATAATTTATAGGTTTTAATTACTCTTCATTCCGCCTGATCAGCTTGGCGTTCATCACAGGACGGCGAATAAAACCTGGTCAAAAGCACTGTCACTATTCCCTGGCAAGACGCTTAATCAAAGTAAGCAGGGCCATATTACACGCTGCGAGCTTCTCGCCGTAATTTCCCAGCTGCTGATAAAGCCGGTTGAATAATGCCGCGGTCCTTCGGAGACACCATTTACAGAAATGACTTTATTGACGGCTTAACGTCGGTAATTCATTTTACCTTTCATGTATTGGGAGCCCGGATTTGTTACAGTAATAGGATGATAAATGTCCTGGCGGCCCTATAGCTTTTATTATTGAACACAATACACACACCCATCCTTAAATGTTCCAAAATTGGGTAACAAAAGGGAGAGAGAGAAATCGAAGCCTTTAACTATTTAATTTGCCTTCCCTAGCGCTGGGAGGGGGGCGGGGGGCTGTGGGGGGAAAGAGACAGTGCCGTGTGTGTATGGGGGGATCGCTCCATCCGGAGCGCTCCTCTTCTGGAACCGCTCTGGATTCAGAGCTTCGCTATAAATCGAGTGGGTTTGTGCGCGGAGGGGTGGGGGGGGATCGCCGGGATCAATGAGGAGGGGTTAAATGGAAAGGCGAAGCGCATTTCCACGCTGGATGTTTGTTTGTTTTTGGTTTGTTTTTTTTTTTTTTATTCCGGCACAGAAATAGATAAATATTACAGCAGACAGTTGTTGCGGCCATCGGATGATACGTTTGCATCGGAAGGATGGAAGCTTTATATATATATATATATATATATATATATTAGTAATAATCACCATATTAATTCCCCGTTAGGAAAAGTTCCCTCTACAACTCGTGGCGATGGGAACACGGAAGGGGCGGTGGGGCCGCTCCGTGGGCTTCGTCCCGCTGTGCGTCCCGGGGCCGCTGCCGTCGGGGTTCGGGAGGTGCCCACACGGTGCCCGTAGCGCCTCCTCGGCAAAGGGAAGGTGCCAACGCTCCCATTTCGTTTGATTCATTTTCTCTTTTTTCTTTTTTTTTTTTCTCTTTTTTCTTTTTTCTTTTTTTTTTTTAATTTGTTCTTCTTCTTTTCGAGGAAGGCCGGCGGAAGGAGGAGGGATTCAATTCGAAATTCAAATTCAAATCCTTTACATTTTTGTTTTGTTTTGTTTTCCTAGGAAGGAGGAAGTATAGGAACGTGGTTAATATACGCTGTGGTAATCCTATTTCCAGGTCTAGATCAGATCTCATTGGGGCCTTTGCTGAAGGACATAAATGAGTTGTTCCAATACAATGGATTTCATCCTTCCTACAGGGACCGGCTGACCAGCGGTTTTGTTAAAAGTGAATGCGAATAGATTTCTGCTACAAGTGCAGCATTATTATTATGAGCTGTAAGGTCAGACTATACATTCCGGGTCCCCAAAGCCTATAGACCCTGGGAAATGCGCGGGATATACCACGTCATTGTACCTGACAGTCCCTTCAATAGAGTAATTCAATTATCGCTCGGGGATTCGGTCTTCATTGAAAGCAATAATAGCAGTGTAATTCGTTGGTAAATAGGTGGTGGAAGCGGCCCCGATCGAAACTTTTTTTCGGGGCGCGGGGTTCCGTCTCCGGAATTCTCGTTGCCCATGAGGGGAGCGGGAGGGGCAGCTCAGGGGTGGGCAACTCAGACTGCCGAGGGCCGGAGAGGGGCAGCCCAGAGCGGGCGGTGCGGCCACCAAAACGCCCCGAGACGGAGCCGGAATCCGGCGGGGCCGCGTCCTCGCGTCCCGGTGCTCCGCTGCGGGACGGCGTCCGTTGGGAGCATCCCCGGCCGCTAAGCAGCCCGGCTGGGAGCTGCAGGGCAAGATTTGAGTTGTTTATTTGTTTGTCATTGTCCTCCCTTCTTTATTCAAAGGGGTTGGGGATGGAAATAGCCAGGGGAAGTTTGGGTGGAGGGGAGAGAAAAGTGTCTTTCTGGTTCTTGGCGGCGTTGTTGGTTTGTTGCTTTTCTAACAAGAAAAAAAAAGGAAAGAAAAGGGAAAAGAGAGAGAGAGGGACGGAGGAAATATAAAAAGGATCAAGACGAAAGAGAAAAAAGAAAAGGCAACAGAAAAAAAAATAAAACGGAAAAAAAAAAAAGAAAAAAGAAAAGGAAGAAGAAAAGGAAAAGGTCAAAGCTTGAAAAGACAAGGGGGGGAAGAGTATCAAAGAAAAAATGGGGAAAAAAATTAAAGAGAAAGGAGGAAAGAGAAAAGGAAACGGAGAAAAGAAAGTAAATGAAAGGGGAAAAGAGAAAAGAGGGAAAAGAGAAGAAAAACAAAGAAAAAGAAAAAGAAAAAGAAAAAGAAAAAGGAAAAGGAAAAGGAAAAGGAAAAGGAAAAGGAAAAGGAAAAGGAAAAGGAAAAAGAAAAGGAAAAGGAAAAGAAAAAAGAAGAGGAAAGGAAAAAGAAAAAGATAAAGATAAAAGAAGAGGAAAAGAAAAGAAAGGAAAAGAGAGGAAAAGAAAAGAAAGGAAAAGAGAGGAAAAGAAAAGAGAGGAAAAGAAAAGAGAGGAAAAGAGAGGAAAAGAGAGGAAAAGAGAGGAAAAGAGAAGAAAAGAAAAGAAAAGAAAAGAAAAGAAAAGAAAAGAAAAGAAAAGAAAAGAAAAGAAAAGAAAAGAAAAGAAAAGAAAAGAAAAGAAAAGAAAAGAAAAGAAAAGAAAAGAAAAGAAAAGAAAAGAAAGGAAAAGAAAGGAAAAGAAAGGAAAAGAAAGGAAAAGAAAGGAAAAGAAAGGAAAGGAAAAGAAAAGAAAAGAAAAGAAAAGAAAAGAAAAGAAAAGAAAAGAAAAGAAAAGAAAAGAAAAGAAAAGAAAAGAAAAGAAAAGAAAAGAAAAGAAAAGAAAAGAAAAGAAAAGAAAAAAAGAAAAGAAAAGAAAAGAAAAGAAAAGAAAAGAAAAGAAAAGAAAAGAAAAGAAAAGAAAAGAAAAGAAAAGAAAAGAAAAGAAAAGAAAAGAAAAGAAAAGAAAAGAAAAGAAAAGAAAAGAAAAGAAAAGAAAAGAAAAGAAAAGAAAAGAAAAGAAAAAGGAACCAGGGCGAAGGAAATAAGGACAGAGGAGAGCAGAGAGGCGCTCACTGCGAAGCCCCTTCCTCAGCCCCCCTCCCCCCGGCCGCCGCCCCCCTACCTCGCAGCACCCGGAGCGACCCCGCAGAGCGGCTCCCCGGGAGGATCTCCGGAGCCGGGCTGAGCACACGGAGGAGCGCAACGGATCCCGTGCCGGGGGCGCAGTCCCGGCGCCTTCCTGCCGCCCTGGCGCTCGGCTTTAAGTTACGGCGGACGTCTCCGAGCGCCGCTTTTCCCCTCTTTGGGTCGGGCACCGCCGTCCCTTCGCCGAGCGCGTTACGAGCTGGGGCTGAAAAGTTTGCCGAGCGGCTTCGGCTCGCGTCTTCCGCTCACCCTTCCCCGGCGACGGCCTCGCACCCGCGGCCGTTTTTCACCGCGTTTTCCGCGTCCTCCCTCTCTCTCCCTCCCCGGCTCTCGGCTCCCGCGTCCGCTCGAAGGGGAAGGAAGGCAGCGGGGATACTTTCGCAAAGGGCCAACGCCTGCCGCCTCCCGGCCCCCGCCCTCCCCGCCGCGCTCCGGGACGGGGCCCTGCGGGCGGGGGCACCTCGAGGCTGGGAGCGGTCCCGGGCTCCTCTCCCACCGTAGAGACGCACGCGGGACCGCGACCCACGGGCTGCGCGGGGCTCCCTGCCACCGGCGTGGGAAGTTTGCCCGAGTCGTGCAGTCATCGGAAGATGCTCCCCTCCGCCTCCGCGCCCCAGGCGCTGCCTTAGGGGCTCCGTGTCCCTGGGGTGGGAGATGACCCATCTTTAATTTATTTATTTTTTTACCCTTTCGGGCCTGAGTGTGAGCATTTATCCCTTTTCAACGCCCAGAGGAGAGACTAGCCCCTCGTCCCCGCTATCCCCTCTGCCAACCCCCTCTGCCGGGCGCTGGCACCCGGGGGGGCGGCCCGGCCCGGGCCCGGGCACCGAGGAAGTTGAAGTCGGGAAGAGAGGAAGGCGGGGGGGAGAGCGATCCTTTGTGTTTGTGTCCTCCTTTGTTCCGGAATTAACTTGACCGGTGGGGCTGAGAGGCAGCGGCACCATTTCGATGTGAGGGCGCGAGGGAGAGGGGGGATCTTTTGATCCTCATCGAGGGAATCGCGGCGGGAGGGGCTGCGGGAGGGGCTGCACCGCTGTCTCTCCGCGGAGGCTCCCAGCGAAATTTCGTTGCAGGCGCAATTTTTGCCTCGCACGGGAACTTTCGGCGCTAATTGGCCGCGCCGCTCCCCGAGCAGGTCCCGCTCCTCTCCGCTCGGCCGTTCCCAGGGAGAGAAAACAGCGCGCGTGGGGCTAAAAGGCAGCGAGACAAAATAATCAGCGTTAAAAGTACGCCTTGCTTTGAGGGGAGGGGGGGGAGGAGGGGTGCAGTGAGAGGGGCAGAGAGGAGAGCGAAATAAGTCTATCGCCTGGAGAAATGATGCGATGTTACTGCTGCCCAGTGGCAGTAACCGGAATTGGGTCATTTTCGGGACAAACGCCGGCAAAATTCGAGTCACGTCCACTTTTGATATAAGGATGTGTCCTCTTTAAAAATTGTTATGCAAAAGACTCCCGGACGTGATCTTCTGGCGATAAAAAGCAGCGAGCCAAATAGTGCAGCCCGAGTCAATAATGGATGAACAGATTAAGAAACCTTTCTCCCAGGCAATTATTTCAGCAATTGAAAAGCTTGCTCTCTCTCCAAAATTTGAAAATAATAATAACAATAAGAGCAAAAGTAAATAAAGCCGAGCACGAGTACGATGGGCTGTTTGCCCCTCACTCAGGTTTATTTCCATTCGAGGAGGTACTGAGATCAGCGGCAGCCCGAAATCACGGCGGTTCATTACGATCTGCGCATCGTGACACTAAATAGGCATAGCGGGGGGAGCACGGCCTGCCTGCATTTGTTTCTCCTTAAAGCTCCGGGTACATTCAGTCTCCTGCTCTGTAATCCCAACAAAAGGTGTTGGAAAATATACCGAGGGGGGGATCGGTGGGGGAGGGAATAGATGATGGCATCGGGGATCCGAAGGGGAAATCCCAGGGCCGGGGCGCGTAGGCAGCGGCTCCGCGGGGCTGCTGGTTTCTGATGGCTGCATAGGGCGGAGCGGAGAGGGGGAAGCAGAATTCCGAGCTCACGGTACGGCCCCGAGCCCCTGAGAGAGCTGCTCCAGGGCCGTGGCTTCCCCTCCTCCCCCCCCACCCCGCCGCCCCGGCAGGAAGGCAGGGGGTTCCTGCAGCCATCCTGTTCGGCCTTGAATTTGGCCAGTGGTGGCAACCGCTCGCGGTTCAGTTCTGTCACCAAGGCAGAGAGCAGATCAAAAGGGAAGGAAATTGACTTTCTGGAGACAGCTGGAGGAAGGCAGGCTTTGTCCTCTTCAGGAGAGGTGCCACCATGTCTGAAGCAAAGAACAAGACTTTGGAGCCATTGGGCTGCATGGGAAAATGGAAATTCTAGAATCATAGAATATCTCAAGTTGGAAAGGGCCCATAAAGATCATGGTTCGGGAACAATGGCTCCTTACGGTGCAGAAAGAGAAGAGGTATGGCAGGAGCCAGCCGTAGCTGAGCTGCTCAGCCCGGAGTCCTTTCCAGGACATGCCACAGTACAATGGAACCCTCGCTGGCATGGCACTTCACCTGCACACCCAGCCCTGCAGCCAAATCCCACATCCCTCTCCAGACAGCAGCCTTACATTCCTGAGTTAGACAAATGATGAAAAAGTTCCAGTTACTGTCTAATGAAAGGCCTCCATCTCCCTTCCCCCAGAGGTTTCCGATGCACATATAATTAGCTCTCAATATTTCATGAATATGGGGTTTTACTAATTCCTTTTCACTCTGGAGATTTTGCATTCACTCTGTCATTTTGCAGAAAGCTGTGGCTGTGGGAAGGGTGGTTTGGGGTGGGCTCTTCTATGTGGATGCCCAACATTGGCTGCCCCAGGCCTCAGCCCAGACAGGTGGGGAGACAGATCCCAAGTGAGGGTCCACAGCTTATTGTTATTATTATTAGCCAAAAATTAAATGTGCAGTGGGATCTCAGCTCTTTGGGGCAGATATTTCTTTGGATGTACACTGTTTTAGGAGCAGGTCTTTCCTTCTGGGTTACAGCACATTTGGGAGGGAGACTGGTACTTTTCTGAGCTAGGAGGTGGAAGTGGAGCAGATATCATTAAGAAATGCCCCACTCAACCTTGGCATCTGTTGCAATTTTTGACAATAACAGATCCCAATCAGTACTTAGTAATACACATAAGGGTAGCTGTAGGCTTTGTGTAACAAAGGGCAAAGCTGCCCCTGCATCATCTTTGGGTTTGGTTCATGCATCTCACTGCAAAGCAGCTCTGCAAAAGTTTCCATGTTCACAGTCAGCATGGAAAGAAATGGGAGACCCATCTCCCTTCCCAATGTCTGGAAGCTCATAACTTGGGTACTGTGGGTGCTCCCAGGGTATGCCCCAGAGCCTGCCCCAGAACCATCCTTTCCTTTTCCATTCCTATGCTACAGCTGCCCTGGTTGTATGGTGACAGCCATCCTTCCTCTGCTGGTGCCTTAGGACTGTGCCTTTTTCTCTTATCCTGCTCCATACAAACGCCTGTGCCCCTGTGCCATGATGGAACAATAGCTCTGTTTTCTGCAAACTTAGGTCCTTCTGTTCAAACAGATGCAGACTAGTGCACTTTTCACCACATTGCTTCTGAGCTCAGCACTGGTATTTGTAATGCAGTGAAGGAGTCACTGTAAAGGAACCCCCCAACCAGAAGCAGCTCGTTAAAAACCCCATTATCCTCATAATTTACTATTAGTTTCACTGCCTGCCTTATGATTCGTAAGAAGGACAACAAATCCTGTGACAGATGATGCTCAGAAGCACTGAGACTGGTGAGCAAAGGGTTTTATTTGCCACACATTTTAGCTGGATGCTACAGAGGCTTTGCAGTTTGCAGTACGCATTGTTGCTGCACGTGGTCCATTGAAGCACAGCTTTGTTCCCAGGCACTAAACTCTGTGAGTCACTGGTTGCTGCACCTTGCTTATTTCTGACAACAACTTTACACTTCTCCGGGCCTTTTCCACCCTTTCCTACCTCCTGTTGTTCACTGAAAGCCACGAGGAGCTGGTGAAAGGGAGAGGTGTGACTGAGGGGGTGCAGGATCGGGGCTTGAAGGTGTTTTGCAGTGGGATTTCAGTCTGATTTTGCATCAGGATCAGCTATTCACTTCCCTGTCTGTGCCTTGGGTGTGCCACATCAGGACCATGTTGTGTTCGGGTGCAGTTAACAGCACAGATAGCAAAACCACCAGAGGTGGTACATTTTAGGGTGGTACACCCAGACTGCATGGCTTTCCAGGATCCTACAGGCAGCACAGAGCCATAGGATTGTTTGAGTTGGAAGGGACCTTTAGAGGCCATCTGGTCCAACTTCCGTGCAATGAACAGGGACACCTGAAGCCGGATCAGGGCGCTCGGAACTCAGCATCTCAGCGGCAGCACCCGGCCCCCTCCCGGCCTTCCTCACGCCGCTGCACTCCAAATGCCGCGTTCCAAATGCCGTGTCCCAAATGCTGGCTTCCAGAGCCATCTCGTGGCTCTCGCCCGTCAGCACAGCAGAGCTGCTGCACGCCGCTGGTGCCTTCCAGCCGCTTCACAACCTGCTTGCACATCACCCCCCCCCCCCTCCCCCCCCTTCATTTTCACACCTCCACGTGGGTTTTTAGCCTTTTGGGACTCTTCTCTAGCAAAGCCCGCCGGTGGGTGAAAGAAGTTCCTTTTGGGAATGGGTGGTGTGGAGGACATGGCAGAGATGGGACCCAGAGATGGGAATCCGTACAACTGCTGTACAGTGCTGAAGCGGAGTGATCCCTGCCTGCTGGGAAGAGGACACTGCTGGATGTTTAAAACCTTTATATTCCTACTGTGTTAGTCTTTGTCTGATGGGTGGCCCCTCTTCCCCTGCAGGGCAGGGGCAGCAGCTATGGCTATGCTGCTTGATCCCACACACTGCTTGTCACCATTTAGCTGGAGATTCCCTTTCCATTTCATAAATTAAGTCTCAGAGACATGGGGTGATATTTTAATGTGTATCCCATAGCCCCACAGATTCTTGCTGGGCCCAAGCCATGTACGCAATCTATACTTTCCCACTGGTGTATAATTTTCTTGGCACTTTCCTTGCAACAGGTGGGCTGTGATATAGAGCAGCACAATGTGACCACTTCACTCTTGCCTAAGAAGAAAGATTTACTGCAGAAGACATATTATTTGCAGTTTTATGGAGATTTCTTATCTAAAGCCATCTAACACCCTATGGCAGGGGTCCACAACTTTGAGAAAGCCTCAGAACATCCAAACAAATGTTTCCAAACAGGAAAGGAGCCAAGTTACCATGTCTGCACTCAAAACTGGGATGCTGAGATGGGAAATGTAGCTGAGATCACATGGAGCTATAACTCCATTTTGCCTGTCTGGGGTCCAAAGAACCTTACGTAAAGCAGCCAGCCCTGGAGGGAGACAATATCTCAGATGAAAAATGACTTCCCAGGTGCCATGGACAATGTGCTGGCTGGGCAGGCTCAGGCAGCTCACTGTGCTTTGTCCTCAGGCCAATCATCAATGTTTCCATCCAAGGGGTGCTCAATCTCATAACAGAGGAGGTTCGGGTTGGATGTTAGGAAACATTTCTTCACAGAGGCAGTGGCACAGGCTGCCCAGGGAGGTGGTGGAGTCATGATCCCTGGAGGTTCAAGGACCCTGGAGATGTAGCACTGAGGGACATGGTCAGTGGGCATGGTGAGGGTGGGTTGGTGATCAGATCAGATGATCCTAGAAATCTCTTCCAACCTTAATGATTCTATGATTCTATGATGAGCAGCTATGGATCTGATCTCAGGGGTGGGTGATGAGGACTCAAGGCATTACAAAGAAGGGATGAGTGGCCTGCAGGAACATGGCTGAGCAATTCCCTGTCTTGATGCTCAGAGCAGTTTTCCTTCACACTCTGCATTGTGTTGCAGTTGAGTTCAAGGTTCAACTCTGTACTACGACACAATGAGCACGTCCTGAGTTACAACCACTAAGCAGCAAGGAAACACTAGTAAATCTTAATGTGGAGGCTGATAAAGTGTAAAATACAACATAAAATAAGATGCATGGGTTGGTATGGAGCCTGCAAGCCTCTGATCTGTTCCCATGGGGGCAAATTCTGGCTGAGTACTCCTGATGGAGCTCACAGCAGGCCAGCTGCCATCAGAGGGCCTATAGCCACCCTCATGGCTCTTATCTCCATAATTCCTTGTTATTAATAACTTTTATAGTTTATATGTGGGACTGAATGGTGTGTGCTTTTTCAGCAGGGACGAACCACTCAATCACATAAAGCCTCACCTAAGAGATGCTGCTAGATGAATCATTTAGGTTGATTGAGGGCTGTGTAAGTGATATATTAAAGATGTGCCGAGCAACATTCCTTGATGGGGAAAATTATGTGTTTTCTGGCCGATTCATAAGCTGAGGAATTCATCTGTGGGTTGTTAAGGAGATTATTGTCTGGTATGTGTGTGTATGCATGGGAATGACAATGCTAGTCAGGCCAGCTTACTAGATAGGCAAAATAATCTGGTTTTGCTAAAATGAAACTGTCATCCCAGGGTGATGCCAAGTACAATTTTGGCTCATCACATCTAACTGATCCTTTCTGTAACTCTTATACCAAAGAGACATTTGGTGCATGGACATCAGAAATGGGAACAAGGTGGGACAGGGCTTGCAGAGCTCGCTGTGACAGTGACTTCTATCTATGGTACATATTTTTAAAGTTATTTTGTTGTTGTTGTTGTTGTTGTTGTTGTTTTTTTCTTTTTGCTGGAAATTATGTGTCCTCTCCACTGCATCATATGTATGCATATATATATGCACAAATGCACATAGTGTCTCCGTTCAGAGGAGTGTTGCCCTGCCCACTACTCCTTTCTGCACAGATTGAGTATGAACTCCTTTTTGATTTCCATTCAGTTCTCCAGGTCACATTTAGAAACGTTTCCATTTCCACAAATCTGTATCTCAGAGAGCACTTTTCTCCCCAGAGAGAAGAGAGCTAATAATTAATGCCATTAACCATGAGTCTCCCTGCTTAAGAGAGATTCTGCAGAGCCTGCACATGGGGAGCTTATGATCATGTCAGTCAGCTGACAGAGCAAACCAGAGGCCATTCAGCCCATTGACTAAGTGGCTCAGAACCCATGGCACTCAGCTATGTCAGCTTTCTCACTGTGTTCTTTATGAGATTATTGTGGCCATTACGCATCTCCCATTCACACCACCCATTACGGCTTTGAGAGATGTTTAAACTGAACTTCAAAGACAGCTTGGAGTTACCTAACACTGCCAAGAGGACTCCAACAGCTGGTAGCGTGGGCAAGGCTTAATCTTTGGGTGAGTCTGTGCTTGGGCAGGGCTGGGATGGTTTGGTGCTCCTACATGAGATTGGATATTAGGAAAAAAAAATCAGAAAGAGCGGTGAGGCATTGGAATGGGCTGCCCAGGGAGGTGGAGGAGTCACTGTCTCAGGAGGTGTTCAAGAAAAGGGTAGAAACGGCACTGAGGGACGTGGCTTAATGAGCATGGTGGTGATGGGTTGATGGATGGACTAGATGATCTTCATGATCGTTTCCGACCTCAAGGATTCTATCATTCAATGATCAGGACAACTGAGCCTGATACAGGTGTTGCTGTGGCCACTAAGATAAACTTTTCTGGCTTTCAATACGGAAAGGATAAAGGGAGCTGAATTTCCAATGTTAGATCTGCAAGGCTGCCACGATGTGCCAACAGAGGGCTCTGGACAAGCCCTAGTGAAAGGTGTTTATTTGTGGTGACAGAAATATAAATATACAGATTACAGGCTTTGGTTCTGACAGGCCATGGCTATCTGCACAGCCTCCTGAATGATACTTGATGTGTTTCCACCACCACAGTGCTGATGCTGCGATTGATGAGGGATGCTCTCCCCTTTCTCCCCAACAGAACACAACCCAAAGGACAATCCACTTCAATTAAAAGTACCGAAACACCCAGAGTTCACTCACATAAGGAAATGAGCTAACTACTCCTAGTTAGTTTCCAAATAGCTTCCTCCGACCTACAGTGCCTAAAGCCCTTAGTTAACACTTCCCAGCTCTTTCTTAGGCGTGCACATTCCTCAAGAAAGCACAATAAACCCAGCTCTTAACAAGGCTCACAAACCCACTGTGCAGCTGGGCGAGACATTTGGTGAGTTGGACAGTAAAGACAGGAATGCTTTGAAGAGCAAACTCATGGGGCTGAGCTCAGCTCACTCTGGAGTATCCCAGTGAGCAGCTGGGCCAGTGGAGGAGCTCAGCCTTTACGAGCTGGCAGCCTTGTGATGCCCAGTCCTGGCCCCAGTGATTTATCCCTGCAGCCCGGGATGCTCTCACTCCTATGTTCTGCAGGGCTCTGTTCTGCATTAACTCGTCAGCAGGTTGCAAAGCCACTGCTCCTGCACAGAAACTTTCCTAGAGAGAGCAGCCTGCAGGTTGTCATCCCCATTGTATGGCTGTGGGAGGCACGAAGTCACCTCCTGCTCCTCCTGGCCATGCTCTCCTTCTCCAAGCAAAGGTAGTTACCCTGTGATTAAACTCCTGATTGGTGCCTTTTGCCTTTTTTTTTGACAAGACACAATATGATGTCACACAAAGAAGGATTGAAGCGATCTCATCTCAGCACAGTGCAGGTGGCAGTAAGACACTGAGTTTCCACCTGCATTCACACATTGCCATACTTCCACCTGTGGCATTTAGGGGTGCTGATTCTTCTTCATACTTGCAGTTATACCATCTCACCCAGGAGGGGTGAGCTTGGGTTTTCCAGCAGATGCTTCTTATTCTGACCAATATCTTCGAGAAAAAAATATGTTTTTCTCTGAACTGCTACCCAAAAAAGGAGCCTTACACTGCCACCCCACTACAGACAATGGATTATTTCCCTGAGTTGATCAGTGAGATCTAGAAACACCCATGCTGTGCAGCATCTCTGGGTACCAGAATGTCAGATTTCCTATTTTTAGGGAGAAGGAAAGGAAAAGGAAAAAGGAAAAAGAAAAAGGAAAAGAAAACCTCTAAAACCTTTCTAAACCTTTTTCTCTACGCAGGAGCGCTCTCGTCCCCGGGCAGGCGCCCACCACCAGGTGGGGATGGTGCCGTGCGCTCGGCTCCGCCAGCCCGAAGTCGAGGGTTTCCTCGCCTCGCTTGGCTCTGCTCGCTCTCCCTACAGCGTCACTACGCGAATGAGGTGGAAATATTGGAGCAAGTGCGAGGCACCGAAGCTGAATGCTGTCCCTTTGGCAGCTCCCGAGGCTGAGGTGTGCAAAGCAAGGGGTTGTCATAGATATGCCGCCTTCCTTTGTGCCGGAGCGAGGTGTCACCGAATGTGATGGATTTTAAGCAATTAAAGGATACTTTTCCTACTGAGACTCATCTGGGCTGGGAAACTCAGTGCTCTGTGCTCCTCCTGCTCACTTGTACGTGGCTTCCAAAGAGGCAGATGCCACAGTGAGAGCGATTCCTGCATAGAGTCAGGCAGCAGATGACATGCTTGAAGAGCAGGACAGGCTTTGCCTTTCAGGGTACTGTGCAGCTGCAGGTGACACAGAAACATTTCCCTCTGCTGCTTCAGAGCAGGATACCATCCACAGATACCGGGAATGGGGGGTCCCAAAAAGCAGGTATTGGCAAACAGTTGGGGTGCTGCAGAGATGTCAGCGTCAGCCTGCCTCAGAAAAAGAAGTGGGAACTTGATGAGAGTCTTCAACTATGTAAGAGGGTATTATAATGAGGGCAGCAGTCAATTGCTCTCCATAGCTACTAAGAGTAGGACAAAAAAGGAAGTAGCTTAATGTGTAACAGGAGAGCTGAGCATGAGGCATTTGAGAAGGAAAAAAAAACTCCTGTCCTTCCTAACTGTGAAGGTGATTAAGCATTAGGACAGGTTGTCCAGGGAGGGCTTGGAGCTTATGTTCTTCGAGTTTTAATAGCATATTGCACAAATGTCAGTCAGAAATCATCTTAAGGAAAACGACCAATGCTTTTTGCTCTTTTTAAGGCAGCCTTGCACCAGGTCTCGACTTCACATTTCAAAGAGCAAGTTTGGGGTTTTATATTTAAGACACGATAGAAGAGTTGCTTTCAAGCAACATGGAAGGAATTAGCTCTACCTGCTATTTGTTTGTAAACAGCTGAGGAGATGAAGGTGTTCTGCAGCTGCTTCATTGCTGGAGCTGGCTGTGCCCAGGTGAGACATTATGTCAAGCAGCTTGTTCTTCATCACTTTATTCTTCTTCTCTCTGGAGCAGTATGAAACATGAACATCATGGCTAGGACTCACGTTCCTGGCAAGAGTCAGGATTTCTTTGCCATACTGCTGTAAATCTATCTCTGGCCATTTATACACATTAGAAAATATAATATATTTTTTTTCAACCGAGAGCTCTGGATTTAACGTTATGTTATCACAGCTTAAGTTTGATTACTTACATCCTTTTTTTTAAATGATATAAAATGGTAACTCTGAAGACTGCTTCAAGATGGCCATTTGCAAATGAGCTCAAGGTATCACCAATATCTTAAAGCAGCTATCAAGGTTCAGCCATTTATATGTATCTTAGGAACTTAACATTTCCTGTTGTAATGGAAATGCTGAGTCACGGCCTGAAGCAGTGATTGAGCACCTGGTAGGAAGGCAAGGCCAACACAGGGGAGCTCAGGTGTATGCAATATACTGGGTGACTGGAAAGCAAGGACCTAGGATCCACCCCTTCCCAGACTTCATTTAAGGGTTGGCAGTGGAGGTGAGGGTATTTTGTTGGGGATTTCTCCATATCTGAGGTCTTCTGAAGGTAAGTAGTTACTTTCTTTCTTTTATTTTTATGACTACTGTTGTGTTTGAGCAAATTCTTACTTGTTGCAGCCTGGGACCTTGCTGCTCTGCTTTTGTTGTGCTTTCCGTTGTGTTACACTTATCTTTTTAGCTTATACAAAATGCTCAAGAAGCCTAAAATGAAGTTCAACAATCCTATTAGTTTCATTTCAATTTTTGCCAACAGAGCAGTGTGAATTAGTGGTGAAGACCACATAATGCACCTGTGGATTTGGAAATGCCATAGATTTTCCAGACAAACAAGCTGCAGGGCAGATGTCAGGCTCTTGTGCTAGACCACATCTTAGGAGCTTATTGAGACTTAATGGTACTTCCCAACCTTAACAATTCTATTAAATTTATCTGGTCCAAGCCATCCCCACCACGCCTGTGGTGTCCCTCAGCGTTACATCGCCTTGGTTCTTAACACTGCATTTCTAGCATTAGTGGGAGTAGAATAACATGGAAGGAGGGCGAAGTGAGCTGATCCCAATGAGGAAAGTGCTGTAGAGCAGCTCAGAGGAGCCCTTACCCAGAGGTAGCCCAGTCAGGTTCCCTCACACGCAGAAAAGGGAACTTCCCTTGGGAAAAGAAGCTGCTTTCTGATATTGTTGTTCTTCTTTTTCTTTTTTTTCTCCTGACAAAGAAGTCAAGATATTGGCAAAGGTCCTGTCAATGACTTCTGCTTATCTCAGCTGTGTTTCCTCCCCATGCTGAGCTGGAGTGGCTCAGGACGACAAAGGATCTCCTTCGTTAGAACTTTCAGCGGCTACTCAGAGAGACAGCTAGCAGTGCAGTCAAAATGGAAACTGAACTTCTTTGTGCTCTAGATCCCAGCCTTTTCTGTAGCTCCACTAGGAAAGCTTTTTCCACTGTAACTTATTGAGCATTCCCTAAGGAATGAGCAGGATGAGCTCCCCAGTCCTGAGCTCCAGGTGCCTGGTTTGTCCTGTTCCCGTGGTGCCCTTAATCATTGGATCACTGAACAGCTTGGGCTGGAAAGGACTGTAAAGTTCACCCAGTTCCAAACCTCTGCCATATGCTTGCCCCCCACCAGCTCAGGCTGCCCAGGGCTCCATCCAGCCTGGCCTTGAGCACCTCATGGGATGGGGCACCCACAACTTCTCTGATGGCCCCATGTGGCTGCCCTCTAATTCTGCAATCTCTACCCAGTGTAGAAACCCCATTTAACATTAGAAGCCCTATAGGGCTTGTTTTGTTGTTGTTGAAGATTGCACGATGAGTTGTACCACAGCTGTGGCTGGGTTTCTCAGGGCCTGCCTGCAACGAATGGTGTGTCTTCATCCATCAGCCTCTTTACGCTGATTGTGCCCTTTGCTCCTAGCTAAAATGTATTTCAAGGAGGTTTTCTATTCTAATGTTATTTTAAAGCAAGAAGGGTCTTGGCAGGGCAGGCAGTATAAAAATATAATAGCGTATTAATGAAGAGTGGGAGGGAAGGTCACTCGCCTGTTATTTGTAGCACAATCCCTGATAAGAGGTCATTAGTCATTCAAAGCCACTGAATGGCTTTAATTAAAATTGGAGCTTCAAGAGCTGGGTTGAGTCTGCTGAACAGACTTTCAGGGCAAAAAGACAGAGTGAGGGAAGGAAAGAGAGCAGGAGTTGACCAAAATGACAATGAGCTTAATTAAAGGCAGAAGGAGCTCCAGGAAACTCTCATTTCCATGCTCCCAGGTTGTTTTCTCTTTTTTCCTGGTGCTCTGCAGTTGCATGAGAATGGCAAATTCCTCCCTGGGTCCTGCCTGGTGGCATTGCTTCCCCCTGCACTGCACCAGTGTGGGGACAAGGAAGAAAGCACCAAAGCAAAAGGGCAGCTGGTACCAAAAGGGGAAAAACAAGCCTCTGAAGAACTTTAATGTGCCTTAAAACAGGAGGAAATCAGCTTGCCTTAGGAAGAAGGCAGTTTTGCCCTTCCCAAGGGTAATTTTGGGACTTACCCTTCGCAGCTTCTCTCTCTTGATTACATCCCCAGTATGTCCATGTGTGCAGGGATGCCAAGAAGCATTGATATATGTGCTCTGAACAGCTGCAAAGCAGACACAGCCACTCCACACCGTGAAAATAAAGCAGGGCTTTTGTCCCCTGCCATTTGCTATATGCAACATATCATAATTAAGTAACATGAGCTTGCTGCCAGCCTAGGACACTGCTGCTGGATTGTGATGTATTTACATCCTTGGACTTGGATATATTTCTATCAGTTGTTTTTATTTTAATGTTTCTTCAACCAGTTGTTTTGAAGACTGTGAATGACTGACCTTGGAAAAACTGATGGGCTGAGCTGTGGCTGCACAGTGTGACACCTGCTGTTAGCAGCCATCTGTCTGCCCTTCCCATGTTGGGTCATGTCAGAGCTCCGTGTATGCCAAGAGCAGACAGAAGCCCCCATCTCCTGCCCCATTATCTGTGTGAGTGCTGGGGTAGATTCTCCTCTCCCACAATCAGCAGCTGCATGCAGATGGCTGACGAGGAATTGAGTATGACTGTTTAGACAGTACAGTGTGTCTTCTGCAGGTAGGGCCACTGACACATCACATCAGATCGCTGTGTGCGCCAGGGTAGGACTTCTTGTGCCAGCAAGCTATAGCATCTCTACTAACATTGTTACTAGGCTGACAAAACACAGTCTACAACAAAAGTTCTCTTGGCCCAGCTCTCTGTGAGGAGGTGAGATAGACTTTTGCTCTCCAGACAGCTCATCTCCACCAGAAACACGCTGCACTTTAGCCCAAGCACCACTGCTGTTGCAAAAGGCATCCAACTAAGACCAGTGCCTAATTCTCCATCTGTTTCACATTTGCTTGGATCTTCACACTCTTAAGCTGGAGAATGAAATCGATGACCTTGATCTGCTTTCTTTTCATTATTCTGTAGGGTTTGCTATTCTTCTTGTTGCTTTGGGAAGTAATTTTGTGAGATTTTCTCGAAAGCCACTTCTAATTGAGAACTGCCATTTTCAAAGTTGCTGCCAGTTGAGAAGTGTACACCCAAGTCTCTTCATAGAGATTATTTAAATACCCAGCCCTTGAGTGGCTGCAGGTTGGATATTAGGAAGAATTTATTTTCTGACAGAGTGGTGATGCAGTGGCACAGGCTGCCCAGGGCAGTGGTGGGGTCACCATCCTTGAAGGTCTTCAAGAACTGTGGAGATGTGGCACTGAGTGACATGGTTTAGTGGGCAATCTTAGTGGCAGGTGGATGGTTGGACTAGGTGATCTTAGTTCTTCTTCCAACTTCAATGATTCTATGATACTACGATTCTAAGGTGAGGTGACACTTGAATTAGTTCATTTCTTTGATCTTTTTTTTTTTTTTTTCCCTAGTGGTGTGAGCTACTGGACTGTCTCTTTCCATAAAGGAATGCCTTTCTTTAGCTTTCTCTGGTGGACTAATAATGCATTTCTGGCACATGCATTTATTGGCATGCCCACGTCTTTTCTAATATTCTTCCCACCACATGTCTCTCCATCAATCCATAGTCCTTAAGCAGAGACTTTTAAATGCACCTCAAAGCAGAAGTCAGGTTAATATGTTTTTCTCTCCCTAAACTGGGATCATCTCTCCCAGGCTTTCTTAGCCTTATACAAATATTCACACCAAGCCAATCTGAATTCCCTTTCAAAATATGTTTAATAGGAAAGGTATGGTTTTTTAAGTAGATTAATGCAAGACTGATGCTGCACAGACAAAATCCTGTAATGATTAACATGTGGTGACTCGGACAAGTTACCACTGTGATAGCTGTGTGAATTGCTTAGCAGCTTGCTTGGTGCAATTGAGAGAAATTAGGACAGCCAGAAGCTCACTGCAATTGTCACATACTCTACTGACACATCTGATTATTTTTTTTAATGTCTTTCTAATATCTCTGGCAAGGGGAGGTCTTGAAGCCTTGTCCTGAGGTCTTTGCAAATCCCTTTCAGATGTGGGTGGAAGGGGAGCAGGGCCAGGCTGCCTGGCTCAGCCTCCCTCTGCCTGGGCTGGCCTCCCTCACACGGCCCCACACACGCATCCACTCCCTTGCTTCCAGCCCCAAAATGTCTGTGCTAGATCTTGCAGGGGCCTCACCAAACAGGGAGGGACACCTGAGGTACCTGCTGTGCTCTTCTCCCACACTGAGGAGCACCAAGGAGGGCCTTGAGGACCACTGTGCTCCGTAGGTCTCCTAGTGAGCGCTGTCTATCTCTCCTGCCCTATTGCCTGCATCAGCAGAGAAACTGCCTGCTTGGATGTGGTGACCTCTCATACCCCTGCATCCTACCTCAGCCCTGTCAGCCTCCAGCAGAAGCTGCCTCTTGACTCAATGCACTTTGAAAGAGGCCCCAGATTCTGGTGCCTGCCCACACCCTGGGAAGATCAAACAAGGTGCAGAACAGGCATTTACACCAGCTCAGTTAATTTAAGCACTGCGGGGAATGTAAATCGGGGCCCTCCGTGTGGAATTTATTGATGCCATCAAATCAAGAGTTCTGCACTGAATTAAAAATATCCAGCTTATTAATGAAGGCAAATAATGACAAGCAGACCTGATTATTTTATTGGGTTAGAGTTAAATATTTGACTAAAAATGAAAAACTATTTCTGATGGATTTCTCCCTGTTCTCTTCAATCTGTTTCTTTTAAAGTATATATACATGTGTAGTTTTGGTGTTTGTTCTTGCTTAAATTGTGCCTCCTGCCGGGTTCCCTGGT